CCGAGAAGTTGAGCAAAGGCCAACGAGTCGTCTTTATGTCGTTCTAGCGGACTCAAGTAAAGAATGTCGTGCCCGAGAGACTTTGCAGTCTGCGAGAAAGGCCCTTTAAGAGCTGGATGAGGACCAACTTCCAAGGCACAGTCGAATGGGCCTTGTTGCGAAATCGCGTTTGCGGCGGCATCGTAGAATCGTACCATGTTAACCATATTGTCTTTCCAATAGCCAATATCAAGCTCTTCTCCCTTCATAACTCGGCCATGGACACTAGAAATCCAGATAACTTCGTTACCTTGTCCAGCTGGCACAATCCCGCTGCCATGCAGAGCTTCGACATATTTGGTCCCGGATTTGAGCATATGGAACGAATGATAGGCCGAGTCGACGCGAAGTACCCTCGCGAATTTCAGTTCCTTAGTTAGCTCCTCATGAGCCAAGCGAATCGCTTCGACGTCACCTGAAAGCGTAACACTGGACGGTGCATTACTCGCTGCAATCTGCAATCTGCCTTTGAACATGGGATTTTCGCAAAATTGCAAAGCTTCGGCCTCGGAGATTCCTGCTGCAAGCATTCCGCCCCTTTGACCATCCTTACCACCGGCTAGATGTGCAAAGTAACCTCGATAGTAGGAGATCAATATCGCATCCCGTGCTGAAAGCCTTCCTGCTACATATGCGGCCGCAATCTCCCCGGAGGAGTGTCCGATTACAGTGTGGAAGTCAATTCCCAAGCTTCGTAAAAGGTTTACCAGCCCTATTTGCAACGCGGTACAAAGAGGTTGAGATACGGCGGCGATATCCACACGAGATTCACTCTCCTCCGCCAGAATCTGCTCTTCCAGTGTCCAACTAGGGGGGTGAGGACAAGAACGCAATACCTCATCAAGGCCATGGATAGAATCGTAATATACTTTACTAGTATAAAACAGAGACTTAGACATCGAAGCCCATTGTGCACCTTGGCCGGTGAATACGCCAATAATCTTCGGGCGCTCGGCCGAAGTGGCACTCCGAATCCCTACGATGCTCGATGTTGGCTTAAGAATATTCTCCAGAATCTGAAGCGCCTGTGCCGATGAGCTTGCCGATACTGATGTTCGGTATGGCAAAGCTGTTCGACGGGAATATATACTCCAAGCTAGTTGAGCGTGGTCAACATCTGGGTGTTGTAGAATGTAGTCTCTGTAAGATGCGACGACAGCTTGCAGTGATCTCTGTGAGCCAGCGGATAGGAGAAGAGGCAAATAGAGTGAAGTATCCCTAACTTTCGCTATTGATTGCATACTTCCCGACTTTCTTCCGGACGACTTCGACTTCTTTCCAGCATTCTTCTTGTAGAGTGCATCATGAATCAGTGGTTCGTAAGATTCGACGATTACGTGGGCGTTGGCGCCTCCGAATCCAAATGAATTAACACTCGCCCTTTTTGGCTGACCAATGGGTGGGCGAGGCCAAGGAATCAAAGATGTCGGCACGTCAAGGCGCTTGCAAAAGGGTTTGACAGTAGGGTTGATTTTGTCGAGATGCAGATTTGGTGGGACAGCATCGTTCTTCATAGCTTCAACGACCTTGAGCAATCCAGCCAGCCCGGCTGCGCCCTCGGTGTGCCCAAGAACAGTCTTGACCGACCCGACTAATAAGCGTTTAGTCTTAGAAGCACGAGTGAGGCTTGTGCTATCGTCGAAGAAGGCATTATAAATTGCTTCAGCTTCTCTAGGATCTCCGGCGGGTGTACCGGTACCGTGAGCTTCGAAGTATTGGCAATGGTCGTCAGGTTCCAGCGAATTCAAGCCTGTTTTCTGATAGGTATCTTTGATAAGTGTCGTCTGGGCCTGAGGATTTGGCAACGTAATACCCTTCGTTCGTCCGTCTGAGTTTACTCCAGTATCGCGGATAATTGCGGTGATCTGATCGCCCTCCGCCAAGGCTCGAGAAAGGGGCTTAAGAAGAAAGGCGGCAACACCCTCTCCACGTGCGTAGCCGTCAGCTGCTGCATCCCACATCCGGCTTTTACCTGTAGGACTCAGCATGTGTAGACTGGACTCTACGAGGAATTGCTCCGGGGTCATCATTATATTTGTGCCTGTTACACACGCCATAACGCTTTCCCCTGAACGCAAGCTTAAGACAGCCTGATGGAGAGCCACCAAACTTGAGCTGCAGGCGGTATCTATTGTCATAGATGGACCTTGGAAGTTGTAGAAGTATGAGATTCGGTTCGAAATAATCGAACGAGCATTACCAGTTGCGTAATACTGGCTTGTGAACAGGTCGTCACGCTGAGATAGGGTGTCGTAGTCGGCAGTCATCACACCGGAGAAAACAGCGACATTCTTCCCAGAATATGTGTTCAGAGTGTATCCAGCTGATTCAAGGGCCTCATAGACGACTTCTAGGATTAGGCGTTGCTGAGGGTCGACAGCTTCTGCCTCCTTTGGCGTGATATGAAACATACCAGCATCGAAGACACGGTGATCTTGGTCTAGCCAATATGCTTTGATGGAATTTGTTGTACCATGGTACTCTCCGTCGGGATGATAGAAGGCCGTAGCGTTGAACCTCTCAGGGGGTACTTCTCGGGAGAGATCCGGAGCCTTGCAAAGCACCTCCCAGAGCTCTGTTGGTGACGTAGCGCCACCAGCAAAGCGACAACTTACGCCGACAACCGCAATTGGCTCAGCCAGGGGCTGTTTGTATGCCATCGTCTCGACTCAGGCCAACCTAAATGGACTACAATGTGTGTGTATTGTGTCACTCCGGTACAATTGATGTGAATGTGATGGAAAGGCAAAGAATAAATAATGGAAGAGGGGGTCAAGGTGTCTACAAAATAACAGACGGAAGAGAAACGAGTGTTGGAATATTTAATTTGTGTGTTTTTGTGCGTGTGTGTGTGGTGTGGGAGTAAATACAAGTTTACAAATGTGTAAGTGACAATTGTAGGGCAGAGAATTTATTGACACTGAATGGGGCAAATGGGAAGTCGGGTTCTTTTGGTTTAAAAGAGGAAAGAGTGACAATGGGGCGTGACGTGTTGCTATGGCGAGGGCTGCTGGAGAAAGTGACTTGCTAGTGATTCAGAATTCTAACTCGAGGAAGAACTAACGAAGAACTAACGAAGGAGACGACTGTAGATAAGGAAATAATACTGTAACTTGAGGCAACAAGCAAAGGTAAAATACGTGACTTCGGCTTAGCACTAGAGAGTGACACATGGTGATGCCGGCAGAGGATTTTACGGCCAATACACATTGAGTCTCTCGGTGAGAACATGTATCTACTCTATACAAACATTGGATTGAACCTTCCTACATGAAGAAGGTAGGATTAAGGTAAGATCAAAGGACGTTAAGTTAGGAAAACATATTCATTGCGTTAATCCAGAGGACCAACCTGTCCAAATGCAAAACCCCACAATAGCACCCGTAGCATCGAGGTACCAGGTCCAGATCCCTTAGGGATTTTATTACTGAGGCACCATGATATAAGATTTCTGTAGCCAGCACGAACATATCTTCCTTTGTATCGAAAAATAGGGGATAGGCCTCTTTCATGTTCCCCCGAGCTGGAATCCTTTCAGCTGCGATGAGGCTCTAATCTGCTTTGCATGGATACGAACAGATTGTGTCAAATTACGAACACGGTCTAGCCGTATACCCGTTGTCAATATGGTATGTTTATTTTTAATATTTTAACGTATGTAAATAAAGAATTATCGTATAACCCCTCTGTCACATGGGCGATTGCACACAGATAAGCAAAGTTGTAGTTTTATTTCAGGAGTTTTCTCTTACTAGCGTCTTCAGTTGTAACTATGGCATAGTCTAGAACGTGGACTTAAGTCCGTCATCTGAACAACAAAGATCCCCTGAGAAAGCCCCTTAGCTGCAGTCTTTGAAAATAAAGGATGGGCCCGAGATACCCGAAGCTAAGCTTTGCCTATCAGATATCAAGTGTGCAATCGGCAAATCTGAATATGGATATCTTCAATCGATTGTGTAACATCGAACCGCTCCTCTGGGAGACCAATTCTAGATATTGTTGGTAGCGTATTTTGTCGTGTCCTTGTGCTCTTGTTAAGACATAATCATAGGATTTACCTCGGTGTCGAATTTCTTCATGAAATTGGATATATTCTATAACACTGACCATAACCAGGTACCCTTGTATGACGCCCTTGTTTGTGTCAATCCTACAGCCTCGGCTGGACCGTTTCTTGGGCAGGTGTGAATGCGTTTTGCCTAGACGTGAGTGAGTAAATGCCAGTTTAAGGGGTAGGTAGTATAGCAACAAGCAATTAGGTAGTGTTTCATATGCCAATTAAATTCTCTCTCTCCTCCCCTTCATCCTCTTCGTAATGATTGAGAATTACTTAGATATTTGCTGGTATTAATCGAGAGGGTGGGACAAACCAAGAGTATATTACGACAGCTTGTTTATGACAGTATCTGTGCTTAATAATTATAACGCGCTACCTACGCAGTTCTCCACGGGGAACGATGAAATCATATATTTTTCATGCAATTTGTACTACCTCGGTACGCCGCCAATCCTCAGTTGCCCAAATCTGACAGTGAATTGCCCGGCTCTTAGTTGTTGTTATTAGTAGGATAGCACGATCGAGTGTGAAGCTTGATCTACTAATGGTAGCTTAGATTACGTAGTTTTCGTAGTCTTACTATTCATCAGAGATTATCAGTCATGGGAATAGTGCTTGTTGCCCGTGTAGCTTGCACCCTACGGTTTGGAATATCATAAGCTGCCTCGTTAGAAGTTTCAACTTCTTTTGGCTTATGAGGGGATAAGCCTGTGGGAAATCCTGGCAAGTCCTCGTATAATGGAAAGGAGGGATATCGTTGGGTTAGAAACGGAGGGATCAGCATTTGTTTGCTACCAATTAAATCCCGAGGTACCTGATGGATAACCGAAAAAGAAGCTGTGTATTATTCCCCTGAAGGAAGGACGGACCTTGTTAAGATTGATGCTAAAGGCTTCATAAATCATTTGATTTGTAAAGGTGGTAGATTGAGCTGATGAATCTAACGATATTTGATAAATAGGTACCTGTCTACGGTTTATTAGAGAGGAAATCTTTTTTAACATCTAAAAGAATATCCATACGGACGGCGCCTAGCACCCCTAAGAAATCCCAATTCAGACTAAATGAAATATATACAATATGAACACCGCTTGCCCCGGAAGAATACCCATCGGGCTTCTAGGTATGGCTTGCCTTTTCAACGATCAAGATACCTATTGATCTCCGGTACCGAAGACTTCGAGATGTATCCGCTCTGGGCTTACTCCAACGCCGACTAGATACTTCTCCGTATCTTTCATGAACGCGTAAGGACCACAGATGAAGTACTCTGCGCGTGCATCATCAAGGAACAGGTTAGACTTGGGGTCAACCTTGCTGAGGTCTACTCTCCCAGCGAAGTGGTAGTCAACGCCTTGAACATCGCGCTGTTGGGGTGACGTAACAAAGAAGGTTGCGCCGATGTTATTGTTGACGTCCTTGGCGCACGTATCTCGGATATGATCGTTAAACGCGCGGACCTCAGAGCTATGTACCCCGTGTATCCACGAGATGCGCCGGCGGGATCCCACGTTTACGGCGCTGTTGAGAATGGACAGCATAGGCGTAAGACCAACACCTGCAGAGATAAGAGCGATAGGTTTGCTCTCATCTTCCTTGGGGTCAACAAAGAATTCCCCAGCAGGCGCCGTAAGCTCGAGAACGTCACCCTCCTTGTAGTTTTCGTGCAGCAGATTGGAGATCAATCCCGGAACGCCAGCCAGCCTGCCCTTATCTTTCTTTACGCTGATGCGGTAGTAATCGGTACGTGGTGCTTCGCTTAGCGAGTATTGCCTGGGTTGCATGTGACCCATTTGGGGAATGAATACTTGAAGACTAATGTATTGTCCCGGTAGAAACGACGGGAGCGGCTGCTCGTCTTCGGGTACGAGATAAAAACTGGTAATCTCAGATGTCTCTGGTACCTTGCGTTGGATCTTAAAGCGGCGCCAGCCCTGCCAATTTTGATGAGCAGCATACAGCTGCTTTTCCCTGCTGATGAAAATATCGGCCAATGCACCGTAGGCGGCGGTCCAGGCTTCGGCGATTTCAGGAGTGCAAGCATCACCTAGCACAGTGGCTACGGCCTCGATCAAATGCTTTCCTACAATTGCGTATTGGTCGGCCTGGACGTTAAGACTCTCGTGCTTGTGTGCGATACGCTCTACGAGAGCTTTTAGCTGGCCGAGATCGTCAACGTAGGTGGCATAGGCAAAAACAGCGCCAGCTAGAGCTCGCGGTTGAGCTCCGCTACTTTGATTAGACATGCTAAATATGTTCTTGAGCTCCGGATGAGCAGCGATCATATTATTGTAGAAGAGTGTCGTAATCGCCACACCGTGTTCCTTCAAAACCGGAGCAGTCGCCTTAACGATGGCTATATGCTCCGGAGAGATGGGTGCAGCAACAGCCATCTTGGATGTTGACGGATGTGATATGGGATGGTTAAATGGCAATTATGTTTGTTTATGTTTCTACGGAATGAAACTCTCGAGGGATACTAATAAACAAAAAGTCGTAGGAAGTGACGTGTTGGGATATATGATTCTCTCTGTGTTGCGTGGACGCACGCTCTTATATACTCTCTTTTTCATCTTGAAAACATAAAACTTACAAAATACATATTCGATACAATTGGCTGCCGTTACGGAACGCAAACAAACAATGTTGCCATCTCCGCCGTTCCGCTAGTTCATCGTACCACGTTTCCTATGGAGGACGCCGGATTGATGTCTACAACTGAATTGTGGTAACGAACCGAAACGTCAAAATCATATTTTTTTCACTCGAGATGAACCCACCAGGTCCTCCGACTATTTTCGTGGATTTACCATCTCCGCGGTGGTTAAAGCCCCCAGTGCCGCCCCGAGGTTTTTCTATGTAATTGAATCTGGGCTTTCTTCCTAGGGTCGATATTATTGCATATTAAGTTTTCCCTTAATTGATTTTTGAATGACTTAATTATACCGATTGTTATCAGGAAGATAGCATAGCTAAGAAGGTTCAATTCTGTCAATGAATCGTATTGATGCTAACCCCGGCGACGGAGTTTCTAAATCCCTGCCTTTTCTTTCGAGTGGAAATTCCCATAATATGCATATCTGCCCAAAAAGTTGAGCCTCTCAAGAAGATTGCAGCATTCTCATTTCGTGCTTCTAAACTCCCTTTTTCCGCGGACCGAGGAGGGGCTAACCTGGGACTCGAACATCACGGGGTTGGTGCTACTGATTAGCGAAGTGCTAGCTGAAAGAAAAAAAACAACATTTGCCAATCCCGGATTAGCTAAAAGAAAATAAAGGGAATTGTTGGCTGAGATCCTACCTCTAAAACCCATCCTATTACTCATCACTTAGACCTACCTACCTACCTAGGTAGGTACATAGGCGACCCGCCAAATTGGTCCAGTTCTAGACGGGATATTTTACGTAATTGGCCTTGACTCTGGACGCTTCTAATATTTAAAATCCGTTTAGCACTGTCAAAAAGTCATACGATATAGGTAAACGCCGTAATTTATAGAGAACTATGTATCCGTCCATGTGTATATCCCCTATGAACCAGTCGTGTGTGGGTATCGGAGGACTGAGGGAGTGGCAAAACATCGACCGATCCCACGACAACAATCAGATTCCAGCTTAACGAACCTTGCTCACGCCCACTATCCAAAATACCAGGCCTTATTCCCTTGCACATAAGAAAGCGCCCCCCCATGTTATACGAACCTAGGTTAACTTCATCTTCAAATCGCCCTCAGCGAACCTGGGTAACTCGGTTTGGTTGGTAAAATGTCGTGGCAGACGGTTCTCCCCCTTTTCATATGGATGACCGGCTTCCTCCCGCGCTAGGTCGTTCACCCACCGACAGTGCCCTTCGAAAGTCCTGGCCTCATCTGACTTGACTTCAACATCGTGAAATTTATTCGCCAGGTGAAACCAGCAAAGGGCGTTGCCAACTGTACCAACTTCGTCGCTGACACCAATTTTCGCTTCTCGACTCATCCGGTCCCACAAGTCTTGATCCGTGAACAGATCTATGAGATGCTGCGCCACAGCTTTATAGTCACCGGGCTCGACTAAAAAGCCGTTCACGTTATCCTTGACTTGAATCGGTATACCGCCGGCTAGAGTAGCGATCACCGGCCGTCCAGCATGTAATGCTTCGGATACTTTAACCTCGAAACCCTCTCGCGTGGATAGTTGAAGAACCACATGAGCTTTCGCGATTAGGGTATTGAGAAGCTGATCATTGGCCTGTAGGCGCATGACACTAATGTCGTCCGCAAGATCTGAATAATGCGCCTCGATCTGTTCCGTGGCGATATCATATATCAAATTTCCGTCTGGGTCATCAATGGAGCTGTTACCAGTGCTGTATCAAAGAGTTAGCTTTCGATTTTCGAATTTATAACCCTAAGAGAAACTCACACTACAAGCTGAGGGATATCTTGCAACCCCAATTCTTTAGCACGCCGACGAAATTCACCATACGAATCTATGACCGTTGGTATACCCTTTGCTGGATCGAAGCGAGCAACTTGTATGATGTATTTGCCTATTTATATATTAGCCTATGCCGTAGACGTAGACGTAGAGATTATAATTCTTACGTTCCGGATGCCTCAACGGGGTCCTAAGGCAGCCTACGTCAGTATAGCTTCTTACTTGGGTAAATTCGGAATAGACTTACATGCGTTGGGCATGACACTGCTCGTTGTAATCCCTCAAGTAATAACCACTATCCCAGTCATTTATGGGCTTATTCAAACCATCAAGCCTTTATAACGTCAGACGAGGACCAACTCATTATTAAAGGAGATAGAACACTTACCAATCTGTGGTCGCTGGCATGTACGTGACTAGATTGCGGGGAACGCTGTCCGGGACAAATTTAGGGATGGGATGGCTCACGAACATATCGGCGTGGCGGATGTTGTTCCACAGGAAATTCCATACTTCATTTTGCGGCGAGCCATCCTGGGCAACAAGATCGCTACGGATTTGGATATGAGAGCGGTAGATGACGGGGCGGTTTGGCGTGATATTTTTTATTAGTGGTATAAGTCCAGGCATTTGAGGGTCATCGATCTAGGCGTTAAATTAGCCACAATAAGCCGACCGCGTATATATATTGGGAAAGACGGAATTTAATTGGGGTATGAAAACGAATCATTGAACTCTTAATTAAACGGCTGTAGTCACGTACCACAATTATGTCGGCACCGCCCTCACTAACGGGGCGCAAAGGACCTCCTTTAGAGAGCCAATAACGGTTGGCATTATCGGCGATCCAGTCCGTAATCGACTGTTGGTCTTCTTGGGAGATGCGGTCCTCCGGCTCACTAACGCCTTGAAGAACATTGTGTATATTCTTGGTGATTCGGAATACGCCCGGACGTGGCTTCGGGACTATGATATAATGTTATTATAGTGCTCATCTGCAAGAAGCTCATCTATACCCCCCCAACGAGGCAGGAGCTATTAGTCTGGGTTTCATCTCAACATACCGTACCAAGTCAAATCAACGCCTGCCAAACGGGCAAATCGCACCAACGCGTGCCGCATGAGTGCGACTCCACCCCCCTGAGGGGTTGAGCTGAAGAAGGCAATTTTGACTTTCTTATCCTTCAGCTGTTTGGCGAAGTACATCGTCGAATCCCATGTGCCATTGGTGCACGTTGACTTGTAGTCGTCAAGGGTAGTCAAGCGAGCTCTAAATCCTACATCACTCATAACGGCACCACGGTAGCCGACTTGTAGTATGGGAACCAGAGAAGGGCCAAAACCCCTGCCGAGTATTATTATCAATTCTCATCATGAAGAGCGTGTAAAGGTGGGCTCTCGGACTTACATTACACATTTGCGTGCCATCGAATCGGCTTGTTCATCAACATCTTTATCGTTCCAGAAGGACATCTCGGACTGGTCGACATCGAAGTCAATAGGAACGATATCAATTTCCAGCCAGAGGCGCGAATTCAAGGTAGGGCTCATGTCCTTTAAAATTAAAGGGAGCCCGGCACCGACGAACTTGACGAAGTTTTCGTGCTCATACTTCTGTATCTGAGACACTACATAATCCGCGATGACATCTTGGTCTTTTTGCACAGGATCAAGTCTTAACAGCTCAACCATGTAATCGAGTAGATATGTATGATCGTGGATTGCAATGGACAACGCCACAGTACCGTCGCCATTGTCCACAACTGAGATACCAGCAAACAACGGCTGCATATAGCAGGTCAGCTATGTGTTGCGAATTCTTTAGGTCTAGATGTAACTTACTGTTAGAGCCCGCGCAAAGGTCCCGTCTACTTTAGGTTAGTATCACGTATGAAAGGAGGGTGGTTTATTTCTCGGGGCCACGCCGTCCTCAGGAGAGGGGGTGGGGAATATGCTACTATTTACTAGCATAAGGAGATCAATAATATGAAAGATATTGTGACATACTGCAAACATGTTAGTCTCTGTAGATGACTCCGTGTAGCCAATTGTGAATTAAAGAAGCTCTCATGTTGGTGCGATATGGAGAAAATGTCTATACTGACCATTTAGCAGCGAACTCACTCAGCCGCCGCTGGTGATGTGCGGAAGCTGTTGAGAACCTCCTTCTCCTTTCTACTGATGGTGCCATGCTTGTTCAAGCACCGAATGAAAGATGGTTTCTATTAATCTAGTAACTGACGGTCGTATTGCTAGTTTTGTCGTTACGACTAAGGTTTAGAAGACGATGCTGACCCGTGGAGAGGAAGAAGATCTTCTCCTATTTTACTTGGGCACCTAAGGTATTTATAAGAGTAGAGTAGTTAGTAGAATAGATAGGTAGTAGGCAGATAGTAGGCAGGTAAACACAGCATCCGGGAGGACCGGTGAGGGGACTCGGAAGGGGAAATGCGGTGTGAGGCGAGAGATGCTGAGATGATTTCCATTCATTTACAAGTTCATACGTTAGAACATAAGGTACATGTAGATACTTTTTGGAGGCGCAATACCTAACCTAGGTATTCATCGAGTATCGGCAGGAAAATGAATTTGAGAGATGCTGAATACCTATTGGTCATAGTCAGATGGCACGTTCGTCTTCAATAGAGTAGCGCGACATTATTGAGTTGGCGCAGAGGTGGCACTCGTAATAAGCGGCTATGAATTCTCCAATTCGCTAATTTTGATAGAGCATACCTACAGTAAGGAAATGTGAGCTCATTACCCTGGCTGCAATGTTGCGATTTATGCGTTCCCGAGAAAAAGCATCTCATGCGGTCGGTAAACGTGTGGTGTCGAGCCTTCGGGTCAGGGCAGAGCAACATTCGAAAATCATACGAGGGGGCGGAAGAGCAGAACATTTCCCTTAAAGACCCCCAAGGAACCCCCAAGAAAACGCGGGATGGCTTACATAAAGTACCTAAGGTAGCATACATCCCGTACTTCGACGCATTTCGTTGCATCTAAAACTTTCTAAAACTTACGATCCTGCTCGCCCAGAGTGGCCAAGAACATATGAGGGGCACTCCCTCAGGTAGTAGCATACGTATGTATGTACGTAGGGTAATTAAAGGGTACCCAAGGTAAGGGGGGAAATACCATGGACCCGGGAAGTTCTCTTGAGCCTCAATTCTAATTTAACCCTACGACTACATTCTTGTTATGCATATTTAACAAGTCTTGCGATTTAGTTATTTTAGCATAGTCATATTTACTATACTTACTTCGGACGTCCCCCGTCGAATCCCCCTCGATTTTGCAGGTTGAGTGCGTCACTGAGATGCTACAGTCCGATCTCCAATTCCCGATCCCAAGAAACACGGTAACTCAGCTGCTCAGCCGATACATTGGGGGTACAGCTCAAGTACCTATAGGGGCCGTGATTATAGGGCTTTTGCTAAAGTCAAGGGTTATGCTTGCCTTACCCCCCAGCTAAGCCCAACTGGCAAAACGAGCAAAGATCATTCCACTTCCTTCGGATTAGCTGATTAGAAGGCAAGTAAGTGAAATGTTGGCAGATGCCCGTGTTTAGGGAGCACCAACGGGCATCATCTATAGTGGCCCGTAGTCCCCGACCAATACCATTGCTAGCCACACTCGTGTTGGGAAGCTCTGCTGATATGGCTACGGACGCTGATTACTATGGAAGGCTATTTGGCAAATATGTATCGACAGCTTATAATTGCGCAACTAGACCTATCAAAGTAGCCGGTACTATAATCAGTTCGATTCGCGGGACGATACCGGGTTTAACTGCTTACCTAGGTAGGTAGTGAAGAAGAGTGAAGAAGAGTGAAGAAGGCCGGCCCAGGCTAGAAGTCTTGCACATTAGAGCCAGAGAGCTCGGCAAATCCATGTGCGAGTAGGAAAGAATTACACGGTCTTCTTTAAGCCGATGTAGTGGCTAATACCGCTATGAAAATATATACCTATAGTTGTTGTTGTCGGGATGGTCTTAACCTAATCGATTCACCCAAGACTTCAAAAATACTCTTTTACATCTAACGGTTAGTCGCTAATTAATACGTTTAACTAATTGAAGCATTATATTTTTAGAAATTCTTCTCAATGTAATTCTTCTTTTGAGCCATGCTGGCAAAGTATAAGGTTCGCAGGTTCGCTTGCTCGCTTACCACCTTAATGCGGGAAAATTCGCATGAAAATGCCTGGCGTTCGTAATAAGTACAATATACCATATTTAACATCCATCTCTGAGATCCATCCCTACCAATCTCGCCAAGCATACCGAGTAAGGATGGAAGGTATATAGCTTTTCGTATCTTGTCGTCACGTTTACTTGCTGTCACCTTTCTTGCCTTCTTGTTTCGCTTCCTCCGCGCCATTATCCTCATCCTTTTCACCCTCCTTGTCGTCCTTCTTATCGTCCTTCTTTTCATCCTTCTTTCCTCCTTCACCCTCTTCCTCCCCACTGCTTGACTTCTTCGCATTCTCCTTTCCCTCTTCTTTCTTCTTCTCCTCTTCGGCCTCTTTTTCTTTTCTTAATTTTTCTTTCTCCTGCTTCTCAAGGTTTTCCCATTTCTCGGTATAATCCTCCTCGCCCCTTCGTTCGTGTAGCTTCTCATCCAAGCCTGTTAGCCTCGGCTTCGCATCGCCAACTTTCATCCGCCCGATAAGGCTGATAAAAATAGCAGCGCCTACGACAGCAGTTAATACAAACCGGTATGTGGCATACCATGAGGGTGCCCAAGCCCGAACGGTAGCTCGAGAATCGGCAAAGTACAGCAGGAGAAAAGCCGCAAACTGAGATGTCAGTGCAAAATCCATAGGCATGAGCAAAGTTGGCCAGGCTATTATAGGGGCCAGCACACCGAGTCCATACCGGAACCGTGTGCGTTCTCGGTTGGGTGTCTTTTCGGTGAACTCCATGCCCCAATGAACCGCGCCAAGGAAGCTGATTATGACGGCGCCGTATCCTAGTTGTATGGGCTCGATGACACTTAGCAATTGTCGAGCAGTATCATGGCTGACGAGGATACTATTTAGGAAACTGGATGTAGTCGGCCACGTAGTATTCAAAACCCATGAAAGATAAACGGTAGAGATAGACGTGGCGAGATACGGCAAGGTGCCCGCGAGGCCAAGTATATAGGGCTCTCTTGGAACGCTCGAAAGGTCAAAAGTATCCTTCACACCTTCCTGTATAAAGCGCATTAGTAAATAGACCTAATAGGTTGGACGAGGTTCTTACCAAATCGTCCCTGACGGCACGCTTAATTGGTTTCTGTGCCTCCTGGCCACTGGGTTCATAGAAATGACGAACACTTGACTCCGTGGTCACCACTTCTGGATCTCTTCCCTGTTGGAAGCCACTAGGTGTCTTGGTGACATACTGAACCTTTTGTATTGGCGCGATGTTGCGAAAAATAGGCGCTCTTGGGTATATTGAACTGGACTTGGTAGTTATAGTTGCCGTCCGGTTTTGTGACCTTGACGGCAAATATACTGAGGGTTTTGGCGAAACAATTGCCCTGGATGACCTTGTTAAGAAAGACCGCGTGCCTCGTAGCATTGTGACTTGGCTATTAACTTAGATAGCTAATACAGATTTGATTCTATCACCGGCATATGTCATATAGACGAAGTAGAAAAAGCACTAATATTATTAGGAGAACAAACTATCATGGGGAAAATAAATAAGTCATTGAAAATGGACATGATAGAATCGCTTTCCCAAGACGGGAATAATTGATGCAATTGCATCGTCAGAACTCGTTTCGGGAGGGAGGTCTTGTTCCTGATTGAGCTTGCTGAGCTCAATGACGTAATAAGTTAAATGTGTATCACTTCAGTTATGATACCATAATCAGTGCGAAGTATGTACCTAAGGTACATCGTGTGGGCACTACCCCTCGATCTGTGGCTGAAGGCTGAATGCTTGGGTACTGGGTACCTCAATACCTAAATTTTCAGCAGCGGCTATCGGGTAAAGAAAGCCCACTATTAATTCTAAAGATGAAGAATACCATTGGTTAGAACTCTTGAGTCTTTATTACGAGGGGTTGGTTAAGCCACAACTTGAACCAACAACGGCGTCATCAATCCTACAAAACAGGCACTAAATGATTTCAGTCGCAAAAGTTACCTAAGGTACCTATGTAGGACCTAAGCTAATGAAAATTGGCGATATTCTGTTGCCTACTTGTCTGTCTACTTCCTCCTCCAAAATTCTATATTTCTTGTTTTCAGAGCTTACACGAGTTTATCAACACCTACAATCATACATAATAGGTTAGGTACCTACCCATAACTCACTTACGTTCCTACCATTGGAATATTTCTATATCCTCCTCTACCCGGTACAGGAACCCGTCGGTTAGCTTGCTACCCAATCTACGCTAATCTAGGCATCTTGGGTACCTATAAATCTATCTATCTAGGTTTATGTACCTACGTGTTTTTGGCCTCAAGTTGTGTAAATCCAACTCTTTTCTCAACTTTCTTTCCCTTTTTTTTTCCACCGAACTTAATAAACATTGCTGCTCTCAGCGCGCGTGTTCTATATCTGCTTCCAGCCTAGCGACTTAGCGATACCCCACTACGAATCTATGAATTTACGATAGCCGACGGTTCATCTTCTTACTTTATACCACTATCGAAGTAATAACGTCTTCCAATTCGATTGCTAAATTAAACCCGTCGTAAAACGATACTTCCGTCCGACGAGGCTCCTCGTATTAATTCCAACTCGTCCAACCTACTAAATCGAATTTCCCCAGATGAAGTGACCTGATACCCACCGTTAATCCACGAAGTTGCCCCGCCCGGGTTACGGCGCAATACAGTCAGGATGCTGGAGGGTTTGGTTGCTGGGTTGCTTAACCGTTTCCTGGGCATGTATGTCAAAAATTTTGACCCTACCCAGTTGAAAGTCGGTATATGGTCTGGCGATGTGAAGCTTCGCAACTTGGAGCTCCGCAAGGAGGCTCTCGACCAGTTGAAGCTTCCCATCAACGTGATGGAGGGCCATTTAGGAGAGCTGACCCTCGTCATACCTTGGTCAAACTTGCGAGGGGCGCCGGTTAAGGTCTTTATCGAAGACGTTTTCCTGCTTGCGTCTCCAAAGGAAGAGGCGGCCTACGATGAGGAAGAGGAAGAACGCAGGCGTCAGCGATTAAAGATGGAAAAATTGGATTCTGCTGAGCTTTTGAAAGAAAGGACGCAGGAAGGACTCAGTCCGGAGGAGCAGAAGAAGAGCCAGAGTTTTACAGAGAGCTTAGTCACTAAGATTGTCGACAATCTGCAGGTCACAGTCAAAAATATCCATGTGAGATACGAGGACTCTATATCAGCCCCGGGGCATCCGTTTGCCTTAGGTGTCACTCTTGGCGAATTCAGTGCTGTCAGTACGGACGGCGAATGGCAACCTACATTTATCCAGAATTCAACTGAGACCACACACAAACTGGCGACCCTCGGTGCGTTGGCAATCTACTGGAACACAGACACTACCCTGCTAGGTCCAGGCCGCGAAGTGGAAAGAGGAGAGGAGCATATGTCCCACGAAAACATGATCAAAAGCTTCAAGGAGATGATAGGAAAAGGAGACAATACTGCCCCACAGGCAGACCATCAATTTATCTTAAAGCCGGTAAGCGGCCAGGCCAAGATCGAGCTTGACAAGACGGGCGACGTACATGTACCAAAATTCAAAGCGAGCTTGCTCTTCGATGAAATCGGTGTTGTTCTAGACGATGATCAATATCGAGATGGCTTAATGATGGTTGACCTTTTCCATTACTTTATCCGCCACCAGGAGTACAAGAAGCTTCAACCTAAGGGAGTCACGCCGAAGGAAGACCCTCGTGCCTGGCTTAAGTTTGCTGGTAATGCAGTACTCACTAAAATTCATGAGAGGAACCGCAGATGGACATGGGACTACTTTCGTGAGCGTCGTGATGACCGTCATCTATACATTGAACTTTTCAAGAAAAAGAAGGCAAATCAACAACTATCGCCACAGGAAATCGACGACCTCAACAAGCTTGAGTGGAAGCTTGGTTATGAGGACTTGCGGTTTTGGAGATCATTAGCTCGAAACCAACTGCGAAAAGAGAACGCAGAGGCACTCAGGAAAGCACCATCTAAGGAACCGCAACAACAAGGATGGTTAGCTTGGGCGTGGGGTTCGAAGCCGTCTGAGCCCACCGACTCAACGGAGGAAAACACTCAGATGACCGAGGAGCAGCGCAAAGAGCTCTATGAGGCGATTGACTGGGACGAGAAAACCGCCCTGGCTGAAGCTGTAGACATGCCACGTGACATTATTAAAATGCAAGTTGATGCATCTCTTAGTACTGGCAGTTTTACCCTGAGACAAAATCCTCATGGGAATTCGACCGATCTGCTAAGTCTCCATTTTGATGTCTTCAAAGCGAAAGCATTTCAAAGGCCCGACTCCTTCCTTGCTGACATTAGCCTTGGTGGTTTCCGAGTCAACGATGGTACTACCCCAGAGAGTTTATTTAAGGAGATTGTTCGGGTTAAGGATGCCCCGGATACGAAGAGTAAGAGGCGGCTTTCCATCGCCGAACTCGAGAGGTCTGAACAGGAGACCTTCTTCGACTTGCAGGTTGAGCAGAACCCCCTTGATGGGAAGAGCGACTTCGCAGTCACAGCGAAACTCAAGCCACTAGAGATTGTGTGGAACCCCAACTTCGTTATAGGTATCGTTGACTTCTTCGAGCCACCTGAGAGGCACATGGAATCCATAACTGCATTGATGGAGACTGCCGGGGCTACTGTCGAGGGGCTAAGACAGCAAACTCGTGCCGGCCTTGAGTTCGCTCTTGAAGAGCATAAGACTATCAATGCTAAGCTAGACCTTCAAGCACCCCTTATCATAATCCCCCAGTCTATCAAGACAGCACGATCTACATGTCTCATTCTAGATGCTGGTCATATCAGTGTCAATAGTGAGTTAGTCGACAAAGGGACTTTGAAACAGATACAGGACAAGCACAACCAGCAGTTCTCCGATGAAGACTTCAAACAGCTCGAGTCTCTCATGTATGACCGCTTCTTAGTCAAATTAACATCCACACAGGTCCTTATTGGACCTTCTATCGAAGAGACAAAGTCCCAGTTAGTTGAGAAGGATGATAGTCGGATGCTTCATATCGTGGAGAAGATCAATGTCGACTTCGTAGTAGCCCTGTCGATATTGCCAAAGGCGCCTAACCTGACAAAGGTCAAAGTGTCAGGTCACATGCCTGTGCTTCAAGCGATGGCCTCTGACACTAAATATAAGAACCTCATGAAGTTAATTGACGTCGCTATACCAAAATTTGATGGGGAGCAGCAGCAAGCCAGAACTGAAGGCCAGTTTAAAAGACCACGTCTACTCAGTTCAGCGTCGAGCCGTTTGCCAAAATCACACGACCACAAGTCTTCATCTAACCTATTCCTCACTCAACAAGCTACTGCGATCCTGGAAGACGAGTCAGACGATGACGAGGATGAATTCGAGGATGCTGCGGATGGAAGTTCAAATCAGCGGCTTAAGACGCAGCAACGCAACTTTGAATTTAAATTCGCTGTCGACAAGTTACAAGGCTCTCTCTATCGCAGCGATCCCGATGGGGTGCGACCCGAGTCCCTACTCGTTGAACTAATCGCGGAGAATTTTGACCTTAATTTTTACATCAGGCCATACGACATGGCGGCTGAGGTATCCCTAGGCTCTGTGTCGGTAGATGACTTCGTCGACAATCCTCCAGCAGAGTTCAAATCTATTGTGTCGTCTGGCGATTTTGAGGACCGCCAGCAACAGAGAGACCTCGTCCGTGTAAAGTTCACCAGGGTCAAGAGGGAATCTCCAGAGTTCATGCCAGTATACGAGGGCATAGAAACAAATGTCAACGTTGCGGTCTCCACGATTAACCTGGTTGTGACGAGGAAGACCTTGCTCACGCTATTGGACTTTGTGCTCACTACATTTACTAATAATAACAGCTCAGATTCCCAGCAGCAGAGGGAGATTAGTAACATAGATAATGAAGACGCGGTCGAAATTGTTGAGCCGGCCGTTAATTCCCAGCAGAATGAGGGCGGTTCCATCCGCGTCAAGGTTGATCTTAAGAGTATTCGCATGATTTTAAATAACGATGGGATTCGATTGGCAACACTCTCGTTCAACCACGCCGACGTTGGGGTTTTCCTTCTCGGTAGAACAATGAGAGTAGCGGCTAAGTTGGGAGATTTAACGCTAGTTGATGATGTTAATATTGGCGCGTCAGAAAATTCAAGCTTCCGCCAACTCGTCACGATCCAAGGGGACGAACTCGCTGATTTCCGCTATGAGACATATGACCCAAGTAATGGAAAGATTTACCCAGGATATGATTCGTCTATCTATCTGCGTGCTGGGTCTATTAAAGTTAATTTCCTTGAGGAGCCGTTCAGAAAAATCATCGAATTCTTGGTCAAGTTTGGCAAAATGCAGGCTATCTATAATGCAGCTCGCCAAGCAGCTGCTAATCAAGCCCAGCAACTACAGCAAAGCACTAGCAGGTTCAAGTTTGATGTTATAGTCAACACCCCCATTATAGTGTTCCCTCGTGCTCTCTCTTCGGATCGGTCAAAACGAGATCTAATCACTGCTTATCTGGGTGAGATATACGCCCAGAATAAATTCACGCCGTTGGATGATACAGAGGACTCAGAAATCGCTATGAAGCTCTCCGCGGGCATTAGAAACATCAGATTAACGTCTCTGTTCCATTACCCCAACGAACAGTCTGAGGAACTTGAAATGATTGACCAC